CATTGGTTGTAACATAATTTTTTACATCAAACCACCGTTCCTGCAAATCTAATTTTTCAGGAATGTTTCTCTTAAGGGTTAGGAATTTTGCACGTTCGATATTGCTCGAGAACTAAGGATACTCTGTGTTTATACTCGAACGAGATTTAATGAATTTATTTGTACAAAATATGTACGTGATAATCGTTTTTTTTTTATAAAGTTCCGATTGTCTCTCTTTTTTTTTTAAATAAATCGATCATTTTGATCAATTGATTTATCTCTTTACGCAAACATTACACGGAGAAAAGTGCCATGTTTTATAGAGCACAGAAAAAATATATAATTCACATCGAAATATTTTTCTAAGAAAACGATATATAAAAAATAATTAAATCGATTCAATTGGAACTCGAAACCGAGTTTCTTCGGTACCGGATATAAATATCGAGAGGTATTTGTGCGATCAAAAAAAGTCATTGGTTTCTTCTGTACAAAATAATCGATGTATCTAAAAAAAAAAAAATTGCCTGTTCCATTGTCTTCTTTCCGAAATTAATGGATTGTAACATATATGAAGTTTATTAGAAATATACTGAACCTGAAGTTTCAAAATTTACAATAATTGATTAATGAAAAAATTCGAACAATCATTTTTAAAAAATGCATATTTTATATGTTACAATTCAATGACGTAAATTATACGGGTAGAAGTACGTATTATTGTATAAATTATGCGTCTTTGTTAACTTATTGAACGTGTGCGAATAAAATGGAAATTTTCTATTTAAAAAAGCAGCATTGAAAATTTTCAAAAATTACGGCACACTTTCTGAGATATCGTGTTCATTGTTCAAAAATGAAAGCAAAATTCGTGCACGTTCCAATAAACAACAATTGTGACAAAATAACTAACACTGTGGTGTATCTGTGGCCGTTGTAAACTCTTCTTTCTGGACCACGATCATGTTTCGTTAATTGTTTCATGATTGTCCACTTCGTAAACGTCTATTCCCATTTACAATGTATACATCTTCGTTGTTCGATGTTCCCAACCGTGTCTAAAAAACAAACACGCGCAAACCATCTACATAGTACTATTTCTATGCTTAATCTTTTTTTCTTTGATCACTAACGAGCTATGATAAAAATTGTAAAGCCTTTGCAAACATTATTAACGCTTAAATAACCTGTAAAAAATTGAAAAACTTTACAGTACATTACTTTTTATACGTATCATTTTCTTTTTAATATTTTTACGTAAAAATTCTATCCGATTCTTCTCGATAATTCTTCTCCGCCATTAAGCAGCGATCTTCTCTCTCTTTCTCTTTCTGTTTTCTCGCTCGAAAACGAAAACACGCATACTCTCTGTGTAAAGTATCGCACCTCAACGTAAACACATTATATACCGTGTGTACGGTCCGTACATGCACTCGTTGTCGCTCGATCATCATTACCCATCTGTTGTCTCGACTCTTCTCGATCTCGAAACTCTACACTCGAACTTGTACTTGATTTTCAAGCGATAAATCTTTCTACCACGTTTGTAATCCGTGCACACACGTACACATACACAACCGTGAAAAGACATACACTCTTAACAAACAATGTGGTATACTATTGTGTAATCGGTGTAACGAGACACGCAGAGAAGCGATAAATAACACAGATACGCATTTTTTGCACCGACGTACTAACACAACTTTCACTGTGACGTCCACTAATGTAATTCGTACGATTGTGAACATGTAAGATCGGCGCCATTCTACGACTCTCTATTTCGCTCGGTCGTGCTAACTGAATTTTCAGACGCTGCACGAAAACACTCCCAGCATACCGAGTGTCCTGATTATCTTGATCATTCTTTGAATATTTTTATTGCTTTAATAGGTACGAAAAAATGTTTTAGGAAGATTTTGACTAGGAATAAATAACGTACATATAATTTTCTTCTAGATCATAAAAATTCATCGAATATGTTTGCAGCATGAGTTCGATGACTTTAGCAATATGACCTTCAGATAACCTTGTGTACCGATAAAAATACCATTAACGATTTTACGTACGTCGTGTACGGGGTGTTTTATTTATAGTGACCACCTTGAACGTCGTTGCTATTTTTGTCTTTTAATAATAAAATAAAAATTGTTAACATAGTTTTAACGTGGTTAATATTGTTGGAAGATCAGATTGCTAAGAATTATAACGTGATACACTGATAAAAAAACAGAAATTAATTATATTTTTTTTTCTTTTAGAAAAAATTAAATTCTTCCTGATATCCTTTTTTGTATAATGAAAATGTTTTAACGAAAATATCTTTTTTTAAAGTGGCAATGAAAAGTGAGACACTCGGTATAGGTGCTTCTGGTAGTGTCAAAAAAAAAAAAAAAACTCATAATGCAGAAGTCATGTATAACCGTTCTCGAATGCAAATAACAAGCTTAAGAGGCTTTAAGTAATGAGTAAACAATGAAGAAGCATGGAAAAATGAGATACGTCTTACATGTGCACGATCGTATTTTGTCCTCTGTAGAAATGCCTTATTGTCACGTGCCTCGATTAACAATTAAACTGTTCACCTGCTTACCAATTACTTGTTAGTGTACGTAACAACAAATATGTACGTGTAATATCGCGTTATTCTTTGTACTGCTCTTGTAAATATATTCTGAACGATTACTGTCACCATGTGTCGTCTATGAAGTTAAGTGTTTTCTGGACATCACTCATTCACCCTGTTTCTCCTCAGCCTATCTCCTTCTCGCTTGCTTAAAGCGCTCAAATGTTTGTATAATGGATTCTCTATGCATGCAGAAAAACTTATCATGGTGTTCTATTATTTCATTTTCAGCTTTGAAGTAATTATTTTGCATGCCTGCTTCTATTTAAGCATTCAATTATTAAAATTAAGCAAAAGTTACAATAATAAACTACTTCTTCCTTCTTTGCAATTAAGAAATATCTCAGACGAGGTACAGGATAGACCTTGCACCTAGGGTTGCAATTTATAAAGTCACTAATCTAGAATAAAGAGCATTGAAACCCCGAACTTTTCTGCTTGAAACCTAGTCACTTCTATTTTTTAGATTAATTACAATATTCCAAGATAACAACTTCTTTCTTGCGTTTTTTGCATCTGGACTGCTTCTGATGTGCCTGATGCGAACGCAACACTTGAAAATCACTCCTAGAAAAACAGATGCATTGCTATCCAGTATATTAGTAGAGGTGCGTCTGACGCATACTAGATCACCGTATGCAACGCACAGATAACATGATAACACAGATGATCGGTGGCAGCTAACGGATTGAACAGCAACCGAACATCGGAAAACCCGGATCATTAGAGAAAATCTCTCTGGACGACCCCGGACACCTTAAAAACTAGAACAAATCCGGGTAAACCCGGACGGATGGCAACGCTACTTGCACCTAATGTTTTTTTTTATGTCCAACGTTCTGAAATGCCGATCGTGTAAAAAATCAGTATTTTTGTTATACCCTCTACAATATAACGCAGTGAGTTTAGAAATTACAATCCAACCATTAAAGATGGTAAAGTCGGCGGATGCAAAAATTCCTCTTTTATTAAATTTGCATATGAAGATACATATATATGTTGGGTTACGTAGGTAGAATTGTTCACGATCTTTTGACAGCAGTAGAACATGCATTAGTAGAATCATCTACTAATAAACAATTACGTTACTTTCTTATTTATAATTTCATAGTTACGTTTAATTCTAATTCCAACCGCTATTAATGTTGTAATCTTATTCTATACTGAATCGGTAACGTTGGTAGCGACCCGAAAATGGTAAGGGTCTTCTTGGCCCCAAAGCTCCGAACAACAAGTCCCATAAAATGCAAGGTTTATCTTGCACGTCGTCTGTGGAAATATTGTATTTTCTGGATCCTTTAAATTTTAGTAACATTCATTTTGGAATATTAAAATTAAAAAAGTAACCTGTACCACCACAAACGACGTACAGGATAAACCTAGCATCTTATGAAACTTTTCGTCCGGGGCTTTGGGGCCGAGAAGACCCTTATTATTTCGGTGTCGCTACCAACGTTACCGATGCAGTATAGAATAAGATTACAACATTAATAATGGTTCGAATTGGAATGAAACGTAACTATGAAATTACAAATAAAAAGGTAACGTAATTGCTTATTAGTAGATGATTTATCACATGCGCGTGCCCTACTGCTGTCAAAAGACCGTGAACAGTTTTCCCAAGCAATCCAATATATGTAAGTATGTATCTTTATATACAAATTTAATAAAAGAGGATTTTTACATCTATGAACTTTACCATCTTTAATGGTTGGTTTGTATGTAATTCCTAAACTCACCGCTTTATATCGTAGAAGGCATCACAAGAACTCTATTTTTTACACGATCGGTATTTCAGAACGTTGAACACAAAAATATATTAGGTATAGTCGGGGCCACGATATAGCTAGGTGGTAAAATCGGTTAGGCGTCAAAGTAAACATGTTTTAGCTGCCGGGACCCCGAAATTGACAGAAATACGAGCAGATAAGTACTTGAAACCATAGCCAGGACCGTACAAAGAATTTTTGTATCCAGCGAAAGTCAAACTGATTCTAATATATTTACTGAAAACTGCATGCAGCTAGGACAATTTAGGGTTTTTTTCTTCTGTAACGTACGTTCTGTAAAGTACGGTTACAAGTAAAGGTCTTATTGAGGTCTTTAGCATCTTAGTTTATCTACTCGTGTTATATACAGATAGAAAGTGCAAAAAGATTGTGTAGCTTTAATATTAACATATTTTCCATTTGTAAATGAAATACCATTTTCTACTTGAAGTACCAAATCATATGCTACCATTCGTTTATTGTTGGAACCCTCAAACAGACTGCAACACACGGCCTTGAGTGCCGCAACATCAATCGATGCCGATTCGTGAGAGTTTAATTTACGACCTCGCTATATCGTGGCCCCAACTATACAAGGTCTATCCTGTACGTTGTTTCTGGTGCAAGGTCTATTCTGTACCTCGCTGTGGTGTCATATTTTAATTGGCTTTAAAGTGCACATACAAGACTCGAATGTAAAAGAATTATGTTTTTTAAGTTGTGAATTTATTAACATGTTAAAAATATAAAAAGAAGTGAGTAAATATTAAAATTATAAAATGCCACTTCCAGCTGCGTTAGCTGCACGACTTGCGAAAAGAGGACTTATTTCTGGCTCGGAAAAGCACGGTATGGTAATTTTACTTATTTGTGCATAAAATGTATTGTACATGACAATTTTGTTCCATTTTTTATCATTTTATAATTTGCAACTATTATAGAGATATCATTATCAGTGAATTTTTTTTAGAAGCAAAAATAACATAACCTTAGTATGTTTCAATATGTAATGTAACTTAAGTATCACACAAAACAAGGCCAAATTATTTAAGAAAGTGTATGAAAATAACTTGTTTTTAGAATCCGCTAAAAAGGAATCTAGAAAAAAGATCCATGAAGAAGTAATAGCTGAAGATTATGATAGTACAAAAGATGACATTAATCAAATTGACATTTCACAAAAATTTATGGTAAACATTGCCTTAAAAGAATTATAATTAATAATAAAAATTCGTAAAATTTAAAACATATTGACTTATATTTTTTATTTTAGGGTTACAGTGGATGTCCCAATAAATATAATATTTACCATGAATGTACAAAGAAGTGTAAAGAATTGTGGGGACTTGGACATGTACAACCTTCTGACAAATACTTAAAAAAACAAATGAGGTTAATACAAAAATACCCTTTACCAGAAACTTGGAAAGCTGTTTATGATCCAGGATCGTGAGTTTTGATTTCTTCTTTTATTTTAAACACTACCATTTTAAATATTGCATGCATTAATAGCTCTCCAATTTTTTTATCAGTGGTCAGCATTATTATTGGGATTGGTCTTCTGATTTAGTATCCTGGCTACCACCAGGTCATCCAAAATGTCAAATATCTCAGCCAGCTTCTCAATTAAGAGAAGAACTACATCTTAAAGCAGCAGATCAAGATGATAATATGTCAAGTGATGACAGTGGTAGTGAGCAGGAACCAATGGAAGTTAGTAATCAACTTGAAATTGAATAAAACTTAAAAATTTGATGTTTTGTGATTGCTGTTTTAAATAGTTGTTCAATTTTTTAGGTAGACGAACCAGAGCCGAAAAAGGATAAAAAATTAGAAAATAGACCGAGACATAAATCGGGAGATAATAAAAGAAATCAAAGGTTGGAAAGGTGCGAAAATAAAGAGAAAAAAGACAGGACTTTGGATCCTATGGATCCAGCATCCTACAGTGATATTCCAAGGTACATTCTTCTAATAATGCTGTTTTAAATATCCAAGTATTTAATTTCGTATTTTAATTATATAATTTGTTTTACAGAGGCAAATGGTCTGATGGTTTAGCAAGACATAATGAAGCCAAAACGGGAGCAGACACAACTGCCTCAGGACCACTTTACCAAATGAGGCCATACCCTAGTCCAGGTGCGGTTCTCCGATCAAACAGAGCCAATAAAACAGAAATAGAATCCTCTAGTAAACCTAAAGTGACTGGTCCCGAAAAACCAGAATAAATTCTGTAACTTTCGATGTATTGTACAATTTATTATATACATTTGGTGTAAATACAGCGTGACTTATAAAATTATATTACTAATCTTATTATTAAACAATTTATAATTACACAGAGAATTGAATTTTTAATTTTGATATTTTCATTTATTTATATTTTTAATTTACAAACTGTTTATCATTTCAGTTTGAATTACACATGAGGCAACATAGAGGTAACTACTCAAATTTTTTACTCCTAGTTAAAAAAATGAATATAGAAACATACATACATATATATGATACTGAATAAAAGATTAAAAGAATTAATGTATAATGTACAATTTAAAATTTATACGATTTGAGCATCTTTATGATATGGAAAATAACGTGCCTCGAGGTCATTTTAATTAAAATCTCTTCTTACTAGCGAACCAGTACCCTGTAATTAAACTCACAAGGATATCACGTGATAATAAGCACTAAACATTTACAATTCCAATACACGATACTCAAAAAATCGTCGCATCTAGTTTTTCGCTAGAATCGTGAACCTTTCAATTTACGATTTGAACATTGCAGTTGATACTATCGCCGATATCTTCGAGTCAATGTTAGAGTTAACCTTGTTCTTGGCCTACTTTGTCAGTAACGATGCAGGGGAGCAAGCTCGATATTTCCAAGGGATGATACGCGAATAATGGAACGAATTCTCCGCGTACTTTCGTCGAATTCCGTCGATATTTCTACATGTTCCACGGCATAGTTTCGTTTAAATAACGAAACATCCCGCGACGTAGTAAAATGCAAACACTGTGCATAAGTATCGTGCAACGTTCAATTTGCATGACGTAAAGAAAAGAAAAGGAGGAAACAAGGAGTTTATGAATTGCATTAGGTGTCGTAAAATAATTACGAACACACGGGAGCGTGCTTTTCCCTGCGTGTGCAATATTTCACGCGCGATGAGTACGACCACTTGAAAATTTTCACTCACGTACTTTTAAGGTACGTATAGACCAGTATCGTCGTTTTGTGTTCGTTATTGAACATTCGAACGTTTGTTACGTGCATACTAATTGAAATGTTATATTGCATTGGGATTGAAGTTTTAAATATTAAGGAAGAGATTCGATGTCATCGTTGTAGCCAGGTTAACTTACAAGCACATGACAGATCGTGAATTTTCCCGCCGGTTTTAAATTGTCACGATTATGATGTCCGAATATTGTTTAATCTTTGCTTTTTCCTCAATTCTAAATTTACATTTAAATTAAAAATTTATGAACGGGACATTCATGATTTTTTTGAATTTAAAATTTTAATGGAAACGTAATATTACATGGTGAATAAACATCGACTTTATAATGTAACAAGTGTGTGACATTAGATTTAGAATAAATCAAGCGAGTTAAAATATTGCAATTAATATTCTTATCAGTATAGATTTACATATGAATTATACCTTGATTCTTTTCAGATAATTTGATTTATCTATACCAGTTAAATATTTGCTGGTAGTTATTAGTTGCAATCTCTACTTTTGAATTGCAATTCTATTTTATTAAGCTCAATACAAGTATTAATATTGTTCATGCAGTTCTATGTAGATATGATAGACAAAACCAAAAGTTGTCGAATGGTAAGTATAAGAAAATGTTTTAACACCACCACATTAGTTAACATTATTAATTTTGTTTTGTATATTAGAGTAGAACATTTCAGATAATATACTTGTTGCCTTTTCTCTACTGTACTATTTAACAATTAAAATTAAAAAATAAAAGTCATTTATGTACAAGAAATTAAATAAATTAACTTCAATTGCCACAAGAAAATATTTGTATTTTATGTAATTAATTATCAACAAGATTCATATAGGAAGTGCAGCACTTAAAAATTATGTTTCTTATCTCTGTCATTTATCTTATCTCAGTTGCATGCAAGTTTTATTGGCTTCCTTAAGTTGAACTTAATGTTTTTTAACTACTTGCCATTTTAAAAGAATTTCCCATTGCCTAAATATCATATTATTCATCAATACATATAATTGTTACTTAGATACTTGTTAGTAATAATAATTTATTAATTAATTTATAATATCGAATTTTTTATTTCAAGCCTTATTAGTGCACAATGTCAATAAGTTTGAAACGTTTCATTTCTTCTTCTTAAATTTTTGTAAGAAAATATTGCAAATAAAAATATTAGGAATGCATAATATGTTCATTTATACTTTTAATCATTTACATTTAGTTTTGTTTGATGCTGTTTTGTAGTAGTGTATTGGTTAATGTTAAGGTGAATACATGTACATATCAAGATGGCAATCGGAAGTATTATTTGTGGAGCCAGTACTCCTAAAATGAAGAGAAAAAAGGCAAAGGTATACCATATTTTAGTTTTGTTTATTTTTTCTTTAATATTTTATATTTAAATATGTATACATATTTAGAATATTTATTATGATATCCTATAAGTAATAAAACAATCTAGAGTACATATTGTCTTATAATTGCAAGCAAATGATGTTGTAGGCAACTGAACGCAGTTGGATAGAGGCAACTTTCCAAAAGAGGGAATGCTCAAAATTTATTCCAAGTGCTGAAGATGAACACAAGTATGTAATACTTACTGTCCTTCCAAAGTTATTTATGTTTAAACATTCTTACAGAATACATTTTCATGTTACACATTATGATAAATTACAATTAATTACATATTAAAATATCAAATAAGTACAATTCAGTGTCATATTCTTTTTCTATTTAAAAAATCTTGGATATATTATTTTTTACGAAATACAATAAATAAACTGTTTTCAATGTACATCATTCTAGACATCATTTTTTTCTGTATGCAACTGCATAATCATGCATTACTGAACTTCTATATTTGTTTATTCTGTTTAAATGTGATTGTCATACACTGATAAATAAGTAGCTACATATATTTTGTTTCTCTGAAGGGACAATATTTTTGCAGAGGCAATATAAGTAGGGTAATTATTTATAATAGTCATAAATTGCAATTATTAACTTTAATATACTTTTTTAAACAATTTAACTTTTAATTGTTATTTATAAACTTGTTACCCTGTTTTTTATGTGGTATTTGCAGTCGCTGGAACATATTATTATTTAGATATTTATTATTGAAAACTGATTTCTGAATTTTTCCAGGTCATTACTAACACATTTTCTTATGTTCATTTTCTTTCCATTTACTTTTCTTTCTTTCATTCCATTTATAGGTTTATGCAAGTAAAGGGAGATAAGAATGCAGAGTATGATGTGATCACCACTTCCAGGTGAGAGTTCATTGTGGGTTTTGTTTGAAATTGAAAATCTTGTGTTCTTTATTAAAAAAAAAAAAGAAAGAAAAAATAGGCGATTTGACAAAGATATTTAATATTTAATATTGCTTCTGCAAATATATCAAATTTATATTTCAAAATGTATCATATATATTTCTTATCCTAAGCTAAGTGTTGTTTCTGCTTTCAAGAGAAAATAATTTACATATTTCTTTTCATATTTTTGAGTAGTCATTAATAAAATACTGTTACATTACATGCATTCTGCACAGTTCTCAGCAATAATGGTTTGTACCAAAAAAGCTGCTAAACTCTAAGTTTTCATAGTGTATATAACAAAATCTGCACAAAATTGCATTATACAGTTGTTGAATTGCTTCTTTTTAAAAGTCCACACTGACAGAACATTATTTTAAATTTACGTTCTTGTTTTTACCGCTTCTCATGAAACGCTTTGTTTTCTCCTAGAGCTCATATTCATTACACCATGCAGCTATGTAAATGAATTATATTTGTACAAGAACTGTTACGGTAATATCATACTTCATAGTATTTAAACAATAACTATGTCGAGTAATAACTTATGAGAATAATCTTAACAATAATGATTGTGTGTAAAATATTTAAATTTTTGCCTGTGCAGTAGCTAATAGTTTTTTGAACCATGTACACTTAAAAATTTCCCTGTATAACGAGAAAATATAAAATATATGTTGTACAATCATAGGTGATCCTTATTTATCAAAGCAAAGATTAGTTGCAAAGGGGTACAATTTATATACACTATTATTCTTTAATACCATTCCTTATATTGTAAAGAAAACTATCATCTGCTTTAATGATCAAGAGCTATTTGTACCCAAGTGCATCTAGTCCCTTCCTCACAGTAAAAATAGTAATAAACAATTGATTATTATAGATGTTGTTGTGGATATTCTTATACTCATCACTGCAGAGCTGGTATAGATGTACAAAGTTACACTGCTAGTAATACCAAAGAAAAAGATCGCGAACAATGGTCTCCTGCAAAAAACACACGCCCATTTCCAACTGATGCATATGGTACAATTGAATTTCAAGGTGGTCCACATCCAACAAAAGCTCAGGTAAATAATTTACAATAAAACTGATGTTATAAAATATATAATTAAATTTTCCTGTATCAATATTTTATTTACAGTATGTAAGACTTGCTTATGACACAAGGCCAGAACCAATAGTACAGCTACTGTGTAGAGAATGGAACTTGGGATTACCTAAGCTACTGATCACAGTACATGGCGGCCGTTCTAACTTTGAACTGCAACCTACTTTAAAGAAAGTTCTAAGGAAAGGGTTGTTAAAGGCAGCAAAGACAACTGGTGCATGGATATTCACTGGTGGAACCAATACAGGTGGATTGAAAAAAATGATTGATGAAATATAATATGAATTTAAATTAGAAAAATTTTAATGATTTTATGTATTTTAATTTCGCAGGCGTCACAAGACAAGTAGGAGATGCACTGCTATTGGAAAGATCTCAAAGACAAGGTCGGGTTGTGAGCATTGGCATAGCGCCATGGGGAATTTTAGATAAAAGCCACGAACTTGTAGGACGTGGAGGTGAAGTACCTTATGATTGCCTTTCATCTCCATGGTGAGGCTCAGTTTCACACTCATGTTATTTTAAAATTCCATAGATATATTTATTACAATATTTGTTATAATTATTTTTTAAGTCTAAATACGCAGTTCTAAACAATCGTCATGCATATTTTTTATTAGTGGATAACGGCACTGGTGGCCGATATGGTGCAGAGATCGTGCTACGTAGGAGATTGGAAAAATATATTTCTAACCTAAAATTACAGCCATGTAATTTCACTTAAAATACCATTTAACATTTTAATTACTATATTTTAAATAATATATAAATCTCTCATTGCAGATACACATAGCAGTATCCCTGTTGTGGCGTTAGTAATTGAAGGAGGAACAAACACGATTCGATCTGTTTTAGAATATGTTACAGACGTTCCTCCTGTTCCTGTAGTAGTCTGTGATGGCTCAGGTCGAGCGGCTGATCTCATCGCTTTTATGCATAAGTAATTACATCACACCCAACTGACTGTATATTTTTTTAATGTAATAATATTTTAACAACGAAATGAAATAAAAAAAATATTTAGATACGCGTCTGAAGTGGACGGAGATAATGGGGAGAACGAGGGACCATTAGAGAGTATGAGAGAACATCTTTTAGATACTATCAAGCGCACTTTCAAGGTATCCGGCGAACAAGCATCTCAATTGTATTCTGAACTTTTGCAGTGTACACGTAAAAAGCACTTGGTAAGTCCGTACCAATAATTAGGCAATATACAAAACTAATAAAAAATAATAATCATCTATTCACAGATAACAGTATTTAGAATAACTCAAGAACGGCCCCAAGAGCTCGACCAAACTATACTAACAGCTCTGTTCAAGTCTAAACAACTATCCCCAGCCGAACAACTATCATTATCACTAATTTGGAATAGAGTGGACATAGCACGCAGTGAAATATTCGTTTATGGTCAAAATTGGCCATCAGGTGCTCTAGAACAAGCAATGATGCAAGCGTTGCAACACGATAGAATCGACTTCGTGAAGCTTCTGTTAGAAAATGGCGTTTCTATGCGCAAATTCTTATCCATACCTCGCCTTGAGGAATTATATAATACCGTAAGTCCTCTATTTTTTATTTATAACTCTATGACGAACATGCGCTTTTCTTATCTGTGTCCATTATCTAGAAAGAAGGCCCTTCAAACACATTGGGTTACATTCTCCGCGACGTTCGACCAAATATTCCACGGGGTTACATGTACACCCTGCATGACATCGGATTAGTGATAAATAAATTAATGGGCGGAGCGTATCGATCGCAATACACACGCAGAAGGTTCCGCGTGATATATACCAAAGTGATGAAGAGATCTGGAGCGCATCCTCAGCACATGCACCGAAACAGTTGCGCTCTTGGTCCCACTATGCGTTACTATTCAGGCTCTGGGAGCAAACAGGACAGCTTAACGATGAGTCTTCTCGCGGAAACTTTACCGGCTAATCGAGACACTCCGCTCTTCGATTATCCGTTCAATGAATTACTTATCTGGGCTGTATTAACGAAACGCCAGCAAATGGCTCTGTTAATGTGGCAACATGGTGAGGAGGCTTTAGCGAAGGCACTCGTTGCTCTTAAATTATACAAAGCCATGGCGCACGAGGCTGCTGAAGATGACCTCGAAACGGAAGTTTACGATGAGTTGCGCAGTTATGGAAAGGAATTTGAAAATATTGGTACTGATATGCTCATAGTGGAATATTCTAGTATTTTTTGTGATTTATTACATTGTTTTTTCATCATTATCTTTTTTTATAGCTTTAGAATTGCTAGATTACTGTTATCGTCAAGATGATGATCAAACGCAACAACTATTGACTTCTGAACTTCAGAACTGGTCTGGCCAGACGTGTCTTTCATTGGCCGTCACGGCTAATCACCGACCTCTCTTGGCACACCCTTGCAGCCAAATTATTTTGGCTGATTTGTGGATGGGTGGGCTTCGAACTAGAAAAAATACAAATTTAAAGGTAATTGAATGATGTAGGTCTATTCTGTTATCTTTGCATTATTTCTTTTAATCTTCATTAGGTTGTGCTTGGACTGGTTTGTCCATTTTATATAGCACGTTTGGAATTCAAAAGTCGCGAGGAATTGCAACTGATGCCGCAAACACAAGAGGAACATCTGATTGCTCTTGAGGATGAGAAAGAAGACAGTGATTCAGAGCATAGCGTACCAACAGGTCCCGATGTCGAGGTAATCATTTTCGTTTTTAATATTATGATAAAAAGTATTAAATAATTATTTGATAGTTATTTTAAAAAAGAAAGACTAAAATTTATAAGATTCTCAGTGTTGACTAATTTTTCTGTTCAGTATGAGTCTAACTTGTACAAGTAAAAGCAAATTATTCTAAATAAGTAGTAATACATTAATACAGCCTATCATTGCATTTATAAGAGTTCATCATTACACACTTTCATTGCTGCAATTATTATTAATTTATTTGTGGACATAGTGGCGATATCACTGCTTTATTATTTTTGAATAACGTTTTCAAATTTCGTCCATTCATTCAACAAAGTTGATCGAAATTCTCGTCATTTGTAAATCCAAAAAAAATTGTGACAATAATTAATTTAAATCCAATATATAATTGCTTTTTAGTTGTTACTTAGAGCATAGTGTATTCAACTTGCAAAGATGACGTTTGCAGTAACACAAATGGTTGCTGGTTTTGAAAAACAGTTGTTTGAACGATTATGTGAAAACGTGTACGCATGTAGGTTCTATTTATATGACGTTTGCATTAAATTTACTTAAAGATTCCACACAAAACTTGAAATGTTATTAATTATTTAACATTGGACTAATACATTTTGTACCTTTATATACATCTTTTTCTATATGTGTAGAAAGATAAAAAGCAAGAAATATTTACAACTTGTCTTAAGTATATCATTTTCTTACATTTATTGTCTAAATATGTATATACTTGAGTATATTATTTGAAAAGGCATTTGTGTGTTTAGTAACTCGTCAATATTACATGGTATATAGTGTATCAATCACTATTAGAGGTATTGCAATGTTTCTGTAATCATAGACTATGTGGGTATGCGTATGAATTGTTTTTTAGAAACGTCAGCGCAGGAGCCTGAGCGTACGCAACAAATCCAGCAGCCAACAAGGCGCTAAGGTATATCTATAATGGCCTGAAATGCAATGATTCTATGACCAATAAGTTCACACTTTCCGGTGCACTTTTCAACTATCTTTCTTATGTTATTAGTTATCATCAAGGAAAACTTCTATTTATTCAGTATCGGAATCCGTACCGGTGAGGATGATAACTAATGCTTCTATTGTAAATCGAATCGTGCTGTATTACTTATAAATAATTCCAAGAAAATCGTTCAGTTTGATATTAATTAAGAAAAAAAAAAAGAGAGAGAAAAGAAAACACACCGCCAAAATATCGGTATCGTTCTTATGAAGACAAACTTGAATGACACACACAAGCTAATTGATGTTATATCTATATACATGTACAACAACTTTTTTTTTATTTTCGAAACGTCGTCACGACATACCGATGTTTTTCACTCAGCGGTTAACAAAAAGTCTCTAACCATTACCAGTCGTATGTTTTTGATAATTTGTCTTTAATATATTTTACTTGATGTTTCAAAATGTGGTATAACCTCTGTATTCCGTTCAAACGATCATTTCTAATCGAGACATAAAGAAACATAAGATTGTTCGGTGATATAAGTAATCTAAACTTCCACTTCCTTGCACTACATTGCACCAACAATTTATACTTTACACAACCATGATTTTCTTAATACAATGTTGCACTCTACCCATTGTTTTCTATTCTTTATTCTTATCTGATTTTTATAGTATTGTAGCCATTAAATAAGTTCATTTAATGAAAATAAATATTTCCTATGTATATATTTTTTACTTTTTTTTTTTTAGTTTATCAAAAATATTTTTATACTGAATTCTATTATTATACTATTTAGCCCTACTATTTTCGTTTTATATAAAACCCCTTATATTATAAAATACTGTACAATATCTCAAGTAATACTCCCTCTCATATCAATAGATTACAAATTCATCAAGCTTGTATATATCTTTCATAATTCCATGTGATCACATGAAGTTAACAAAACATCTATATGCACAAAAATTATTGTACATCATCTATCTCTCCCTGTAATCTTCTATAATATTTCTAGAACGCTACAGTGACACATTTATGTTTTTAATGTTTGCTTCTTACATGCTATGTATCATTCTATCTGATTAATTTCTTTGATTAATTTGTTAGCAACATTCGTACTGTAAATGGTTTCTGAGAATGACCAAGAAGTAGTAAAGACTATCATTGATACATGTTTGATTATACCTAAAAAATTCCTGTTATCTGTGTGTTAATGTCCTGTACAATTTATCACTAGTGCTTGTATACTTGTTCTGAAATTCTGATTTCTTCATATAGGCTTTAATCAGCAACGAACACACTACCACTGTAGTGAAGGAAACGATTGTACAAGAGAATGGTAAAGTATTGACGGATAACGATGACGGGATTCATCGTGCCTATGGTAGTATACACGCTGACTACTATGATATTAAGAACAGCAGGCCATTGAGGTTAAGGAAGAAGTTATATGAATTTTATACAGCTCCCATTACTAAATTCTGGGCCAATGCTGTATGTTATATATTCATAAATATCGATTAAATTTCAACAAACGTTATGTTAAACGTTAAGTAAATTTTTTCGCATTGCAGATAGCATATATCATTTTTTTGGTTCTCTTCTCCTATTGTATCCTTATACACATGGATGATCATCCATCATTGGCAGAAATTTATGCAATTGCATACATTTGCACGCTAGGATGTGAGAAAGTACGAGAGATCGCAACATCTGAACCGGCTACTCTTTCACACAAGTTTAGCGTGTGGGCATGGAATATGTGGAATCCCTGTGACGCGGCCGCCATCATTTTTTTTCAAATTGGTCTGGCCTTACGTTTAAGACACTCCACTCTCGACGTTGGTCGGGTCATTTATTGCGTCGATTGTATTTATTGGTACTTGAGGATATTGAACATCCTTGGTGTGAATAAATACTTTGGTATGTTAAATCAATTAAATGAATTTTTGTTGTATTTATATATCTATTACAATGAATAATTTTTTTATTATTATGTTCAGGTCCTCTGGTTACCATGATGGGAAAGATGGTAAAAAACATGACATACTTTGTGGTGCTCCTAGTAGTAGTGTTAATGAGTTTTGGGGTCACTCGACAAGCAATTTTGAACCCTAACGCTGAACCTAAATTCAGGATCATTCGTGATGTATGTACTTTCTGCAAATATTCATTTTCTTTTGACGCTAAATACTTGCAAATGTAAATAACTTAAAAGGAACATAAATTCTTGTTGCACAGATCTTCATGGAACCATACTTTATGTTATACGGAGAAGTATATGCGGACAACATAGATCCTGATTGTGGGGACGAGCCGGGAATGATTCCGTGCCTACCAGGCCGCTGGATCACACCTTTTGTAATGTCGATTTATCTTTTAGTCGCAAACATATTATTGATAAACCTTTTGATCGCGGTTTTCAATAATATTTTTAATGAGGTAAACGCGGTGGCCCACCAAGTATGGATGTTCCAACGTTTTACTGTTGTTATGGAATATGAACAGAAACCAGTTTTACCTCCCCCGCTCATTGTAGTTTGTCACATATATCTGCTGGTGAAATATTTGCTGCGATATGTGACACAAGGAAAAGCAAGTACCGGTGAAACGTACGACAATGGGCTGAAGTTGTTCTTAGAGGCGGACGACATGGAGCGTCTCTATGATTTTGAGGAAGACTGTGTCGAAGGCTATTTCCGTGAGCAAGAATTGAAGCTACAAATGTCTACAGAAGAACGTATCAAAGTTACCACGGAGAGGGTTGAGAATATGCATCAGAAGATAGAGGACATAGACAAGAAGGAGAATACTCAGAATGCTTCTCTTCAGGTAATCACGATGTATCATATTCAACAAGCATAAGGATTTATCACAGAAAATAATAATACAATTTTCTTTGTTATTATAGACTGTAGAATTCCGCATCCGCAAGTTGGAGGAGCTGAATGAACAGACTTTGGCACACCTAGGGGTCATTCACCGGTTCATGGCGACCCATATGCCTAACATGGAGGGCTTAGGAGCTTTCGAGATAGAGGGTCGTCAGCGTAGAGTGTCAGAGCGCTCAGAAGTACTCTCAGAAACGGATTCTCACACGCAACTACCTAGCATTACACTCAAACGAAAAAGATTAGTACGATCAATGACCGACGGCACGTTTCTCAACATAGGACCAGTAATGGACGACGACGTGCTTAAGCATTCAGAGACAGTTACATCTCGTGAGAACCTTAGTAGGAACGAATCCTCTATAAGTGGAGACGGACAGACTGTTCAGGATGACATAAAGACGACAACTAGCCAGGAAACTGAAGTGAGCAAAGGGGACGGTGAGGGAGAGACCCTAAAGAAGGATTCACAATCAGATAGTAGAGAAATAAACAGAGACGTAAGTAAAGAAGTAAGCAGAGACGCAAGTAGGGAAGCAAGTGGAGAACCAAGTAGCAGAGATCCAAGTACAGATCCCAGCAGGCAGACTAGTAGAGAATTAAGCAGAGAGACTAGCAAAGAAGCAACAAGCAAAGAACCAAGCAGAGAAGCCAGCAGCGAAGCGCCAGCCTCTGAGCCAATCAGACAAGATTCCACTGAACGCCCTATTAGACAAACCAGCAGGACACGTTCAGAGTCAGATGACGTAATGATACTTCCACCTTCTGGCATTCCAAGGGGCGTGACCTGGGCAGAGCCACGCGTTGCAGTGATTCCATCAGTGTCTTCAGCAGGCAGCACACAGAGGTCTATTCTACTGGCCATGCGTGCTGAGTACACCAGTATAACAGATGAATTGGAAAGCTATTGTGGTCTTCTTAGTCCACCTCGAACACCACCCATTTCTCCACCACCTTCGAGGGTCAGAAACTTGTCTGGCATGTCTAATGCAGAGATGGCTTGGCAGATTGAAAACGAACATCTACGCGATGCTGAGGAGTGTGATTACCAGCAAATGGAAGACTTGATACAAAGGAGGTACATTGGAGATGAAGAAGACACTTTGCATGTACCAGATGAGGCTAGTGGTGGTCCATACTTCATATCAAACGAACACAGACATCAACTCAGGAGGGCTTCCGCCATCGATGAAGAGTCCCGTAGGCCTCCGCCTACTATCAGTGTGACCAGGGAAATCGAACAAACGCTTTCAAGGCCACCTATCAGAGATTCGGAGAGTTCAGATCCCAATGACAAGCATCTCAGCACGGTACCTGCTCCTGCGTCGGAGACTATGTGCTAAATATCAATACGCTCGCCTCGAGGTAACCTAACCTCAAATAACTTACGAACCGATCTGACTCAATGAGACTGTGCAAGTCGTGGTATATAAATGCAATGATGAAATATGTATTTTCAATCGATACTATTTTTCTGATTACATAATGAGATAGATTACGATTGATTTTAATATTACAATATAGATGATAAAAAGAAACAGTATTTTAAAGAGTGAATGTTTAAAAAATTTTTAAACTAGATGTTTTGAATGAAAATAGTATTTCATCGTAGCATAATATGTATTAACTGAATAGAATGCATTTTTCCGATTGCTTAATTATGATGCAAAGTATTGTTGAGCTCAGATCTGAAGATCTTTTATTATGAGATTTTAGTTGCAATTTTTATTACAATTTTCGGACGTTTTTTTCGCATTTACGCGAATAGTCCAATTACTTTTATCTTAAAGTACTTAGTATATTGTACAATCATACATATGACATGTATATATGAATATTGAAGTTATCAAGCTTGCTAATATCTTAATTGATTCGAGTATTTGAATGATGTACATTAGAATTAGTAATTTTTAATATCGTCAGTGGATTACTTTTTAAATGTATTGTATACAATTTTTTAATTATTTATTAGTATTGTATATGGTCATAAAAATATTTGATTTTTATGATTCACATTTGAATACTCGAAAATATTAAAATAATATTCATGTTATTTGATATGTATGTTTGTTATAATTTATTTAACTACAGCTTCATAAAGCTTCCAGTAGAATATTAATTTTATAAATTTCCACTAGGATATTAGTGCTAATTTCTTTACAGGAAATTGTAATTAAAATTTTTATGTACATATAATCCAATCAGTAGCCAGTATATGCAACATATTTCTTACAATTGTATAAGTAGCACAATTTAATCAACTGCTTGAAGCTAGCTTATTCAGCTGAACACTTAATTCTAAATTAAGTTGTTGTATTTAAAAACTTTTTTGGGAATAATCTTTTTTGACTTTATATAAATCATTGTATGTACATTTTATCACGTCTACACGCAGCTATTGCTATTAACAATATTAACAACTATAATATATCAAAAATAATGTTTACATGCATAATAGATTATGGTATACTTAATGTTAAACGTAGAATAATCGAAACACTTCATCACTTATCGCAACAGGTGGCAGTTACTTCGAGTATTCGAATGACTATTTCTTAATGAGAATTCAAATATCATTTATTTTAATAATGACTAATTCAAATACTTAACCTTCGTTGATATAAATAATAGTTCCAGTAAACAGATACGAAGTTTCAATTTTTAAAAGATTTTTTAAATATCGATGTTGGAATTCAACACACAGCAATAATTATACTAATCATTCTACGTAGATTTCTCTAACTATTCGAATATTCGAATTACAACGCTAAACATCTTCGAAGTTCGTTAGTTAAGTTTCTTTCGGACGTACGAATCGGTTCAAAATATATACGTGCCTACTTAGAAATTGTGATTATCAGACTTAAATGGATTTAATAGCTTAGAAAAAGTAAAAAAAAGAACACGTTCCGAAGAAACTTGCGTTGCCGCCATTTTTCTGTATACCGCGTTCAATGCACTATATACGAGCATTATTCAAGTTCCTTCCATTTTCTAGGTCGTATATTTTTCAATTTTGTAAACGCACACACGTACACACAATTAGTTTATTATTGTGTATTACGACAACGTAGGCAAGAACGTTGTTGAAAATATTAATCCTTTCCCGTCCTTTCCCATTCGGTGGGATTATTTCGGTTCGTTTGGTTATTTCGTTCGTTCGAAAGAATATATTTTTAAACAATTACGAGATACCTATATACAGAGTGCCTGAAGAAGTATCGTGTGAAATAATATTTAAAAAAAAACAACAACGAAACTTTTATTTTAAATAGGATGCTATATTTTTATTTCAATACCATGGAAGTATGAGGAAATGTTCATTGAATTTACATACAATGACTTTCAAACAATGGATGATTTGAGAAACATAAATATTACGTAACGTCGAGAATCAAAATATTTATAATTAGTATTTTATTTATAAAACACGTTCAAAGTTCATAGACCTTGGATTAATTGGAGGTCATTGTACGTGAATTTATTTTTTTGTGCTTCCACTTTGAAAAACCAAAGTGACCTTGAAATGTTACCAAAAAAAAAAAAAATCCCCTGAAAAAAAAAGTCTACTTACGTTTTTTGGTCGTATAATAATTACTTCACACGACACTTATTTTTAGACACCCCGTATATATACAGGATAAACATATTTGCCCGTGAGATGAAGTCAAACGTTTTTTTAACAACGATGAAATATGAAAAATCGATAATGCAGTTTCACCTAGTTTTAATAATTAGTACATTTTTTTCACTTTTCAATTAGCATTATTTTAGAATAATTTAGAATTAGTTAACATTTAAACGTATACCAAACATGAAAAAACTTATCGTAAATATATCGAAAAAAATGAGAATGAGAATATTCAATACCAATTTGTGTTCAAAGGTTCAGTCGAAAAATTAGGTGAAACTCGATTAGCGAAATTCTCAAAATACACGCATATGTATATCGGTGTTGATAGGATCTTTTTTTAAGAGAATACCAACGAAACCAACATTTTTCGCAGTCGTATTTGCAAGGTCAGAACGAACAATTGAAAAATAGACCGCAAGGAGGATTAAACCGGCGTGTGCTTAATCAAACATTAGGTACTTACTGTTAGTGCAAAACCAAAATGTAACTGAAAAATTTACAGAAAAAACCGTACTGGTTTTAAGTGCGATTTCGTTTCGGTAAGAATCTAAATAGATACTAACACGAGAAATCGTTTCGGACCCTGATAACGAGATCGATTTTCATTGTAAATAATTTCTCAACGATTACATGTAAACGTAACGTAATACGCAGCTTTATTATCTTTTAGACACGTGCGAATAACCATTTGCATCGGAAAATAGAACTTGAACTGTCAAGTTTTCTTGTACAACGCAAAATTTGAAAGTGTAGTGTGTATGTTACCTTATTATCACTGCGAGGGAAATGTATTTGTTTTATTTGAACTCTGGTATGCAAGAAGAAAAAGCCGTCCTCGAATAGGTTCGTTGTCATTTCAACACATGGATACACAATTGCACACAAAAGAAAAAAACTTTCGCCGAAGTAATTTATAATACATCCGAATCAAAGGTCACATAACACGAAATATTTTGCTTTTAGAAACATATACGTAAATGCAAGAGGGACTATTGCATTTACATTATCGTTGCGTCAGTGTTCTCCGCGAGTGAAGCTCCTTTGCGCGACTTTCCTCCCTCCCCCATGTTTACCGTTGCTAAGAAACAGAGACCAACAGATTCTGGCGGGAAACGTCCGCATTCAATACTTAATAGCCCAACACGATGATATTGGTATAATTAAATAACATAAAAAACACTGTATAATAACGTATTTGTTATACATCAACTTTGGAATAGTATTTAGCCCTTTGTCATTACAATAAGAGGGATAACGTGAGGAAAGTTTCTTAAATAGGACATTATCGAGGACAGCACTGATTTACGTACTTTTGTACGAGTTCACGGTTCTCGCGTAACTGTTTAGTATCAAGAAACACAAATATGAGATGTCATCGAACGATTCGCACGCGTCTATCGTCGTTACTGCCGAAACATTTTTATGAATTTTTTGAATGTACATTTAGGGCCTTATCACGCACTACCTACTGCGTTGAACACGGAAATTTACGGACCACTTAAAACCAAAATAGAAAAAATGCAAAAAAATGAAAGAAAAAATATGAATAAAGAAAGCGAACCATATCACGCGGATAATTACGTTCTTAGGAACGGGAGCCAGTTTGTGTTAGTACATCTACTTACGATATGCGACTAATAAGCGAAACACGTTTGATATTTATCGTCTAATATAAAAGTGAAAAAAAGGAAAACGATAAATAAACGATATGCCTAATTGTATAAAACAATTGTGTATAGTTAGTAAAAATTTTAAGACGAAATAGATGCGAGAACGCGAGATGAATTTTAAGACTGTATCACAGAAAACAACGTTTGTTTACTTATTTTATTCTATAATCTGTAATCAGACGGGAGTACGAGGAATTGTTAATATAAATCCAAAGTGATGCAATGTCTTCAATGAGAAATATTCAATTTGTTATTGGATTCGACCAAAAAATCGAATTTCTTCTATGGAAGAATTTAATTATCGTTTTTAAATCGAATTCAACGACGACGTTAGTTAATTTTATTTGAAAGTAATAGATTTGCAATTTTCGTTTATATAGTACTTCTGTTACTTTTGTGTCGGTAGGGTGGTGGAACTTAAGCTCCATGAAAACTACCCATTTCCATGTGATAGTACCACTACTACCATTATTAGTATTATTATTGTATGTAGTGTCAGATTCGTTACCATTGATTTATTTAGACAAAGTAAGTGAATTGAATTTCACGACATTGCCCAACGAATCGAAATGACATCCATGAAAGAGGTGAAATAAAACTAAAAGGTGCTATCATATAAATCGAGCGTTATATAAGACGATCGATTATTGGAACGATAAAGCAACGAACACGCTTGCGATTTGTCGTCGACAAACGTACTGTATATACTCCGTAAGATGCTTCGTTACAGACTCAATCATTCGACGAATATCGAATATCGATTTGTTCGAAAAGCTTTCGAAGACAATTCTTCTCTCTCATCTTCTCTTTCATGGCGAAAGATTCTATGATGTTAAAGTTAATTCTGCTATCAAATTGTTTCTCGGCAGCTTTTAAGATTTTACGAATAAGAATATCGATAGACGATCGATGAATGAATCGAATCGCGGGCGAAATACAGTGAGGTTAGAACTACTTACGTTTACCACACAAAAGTGGTTACATACATATTTGAATGGATAATTCACGAAGAAATTGTAGTTTTTGGATAGTACAAAGTAAACGAAAATAAGTGGTTTCAAATCAAACGTAGATTTGTAACGG